TTGTTATGTATATGTTTGATTGTTTGATTAACTGATTATACTGTGCTCATATGAAATATATGATGAATAAGACATAGATAATTTATTGGATGATATGATTATTGAGATTATGAATTAGTGGTGTAAGCAATATGGAGCTATTAAGCACGATCTTGTGATTGGATTGTGAAATGAAGACGAGAACTGAATAGATTTTGGTGTAAATAGTTACAAAGATACACTGGGGTATAGAGTCCGGAGACAATAGAAAAATCTAAGAGAAACATAAGGTGATGACATTCGCATTTGTGTGCACATTTTGTCTCGAATCCCGATTAGACTCCTGACTATACCTTTGCTAAGGAGCTCATTATTGTATACATTGTATCTGTATGCATGGGCTAACCAGAGATTATTTACATGATTAAGTAAGACCTCAAGAACTGTTAGAGGCATTAAATGACTATAATCACAATGTACTTAAATTGCAAAATTGAGAATAAAAATGTCAATGAAGTTGTGTGAACATGTGTGATGATTGACACATATGATATGTGGTAATGTAGTATGATGTTTAATTGTATAATTATAATATTGTTATGATATCTGTGTTGTATTTGAAAAATAGAATTGATACTCACCTTTACACAACTCTGCAGATAGTAAAGATAACAGTACGTCCTGTACGGATTAGTGTAGTAAATGTCTGTGTTAGTAATAGATTAAATTATGTTTTTAGAAAATATAGACGTGTAATACATTTAAATTTTAGAGTCTATTTTGAGGAGAATCAGGAATACACCTTAGAAGTAATCTATAATTATGCAGTTTCTTTTGATTTTTTTTACTAGTGGTCAAATTTATTAGTCTCTTGATTTTCATCTATACCAGGGAATAGAAAGGCCTTCTCGGATAATGAATAATGTATTTACTTATAATAATCATGATTTGCTAAGAAGGCTTAATAGTTATACATTTGAGAGATTCCCTAATATAGAAATAGTGGCAGACTCTGGTGACGCCTACCTTGGAGGGAATAATGAATTAACCGATGAGAACTTGGCAAAAATTGAGGGATGACATGATATAGAAAAATAGTTTTAGGTCCTCAGGTATGTGAAATGAATATGAATTGCTGTATATTTTGAAATATATTAAATGGAAGGTTTGTAAATGTAAATTTCATGATATAAGAAAATTTCGTGTATGTATTTCACAAGTGACTTTAGTAATGTAAAGATTTTATTTTAGCAAATTTTGATTATTTGGATGATGAAAATTTAGTTATTTCTTATAAGTCTTCATAAATTGACATAATTAAAATAAAGAAATATAGGGTGTTACAAACATCATTTTTCTTCCTCCATGAAATGCACATCTCTACTTATAAGAAATTTTCCAGTTTGAGACTAAAAAATCTTATAAGCTTTAAAGATTGTGTTGTAGTCAATAAATACTCCAAGTTCAACTCTTTTGTCAAGCTTATCACACTTAACTTGAGATACATGTGAGCAGCACAAGTAACATACTTTTAAAAAAATCTAGAAGGTTTAAAACCAAACCAAGCTTCAAAAGAAGTTTAATTTTACACAACTTGTGTATAAATTTTGTTTTGAATGAACATAATTGTATTTGCAACTTCAACCTATAACTTTTTTAGTAATTTCTTTTGATGAAGCATCAACTTAGCCATCTCCATGATTAATCTACTTTCCTTCCACTCACTCTATTTTGTTGAGCAATGTAAGAAGTTGTTAATTGTTACTCAAGTATAGCTTCATCACATAATTGTTAAAATTAATTAGCTAAATACTCTTTATCATTATTTGACATGAAATTTTCAATTCAATAATTGTTTTGATTTTTAACATGTGCTTTGTATCTAAGAATATAAATTCAGCACTTTCTTGTAAGGTCATCAATAAAAATAATATATTAAAAACTTCCTTTTAGTGATGGAGTTCTTTTTGGTCCAACAAGATCACAATGGACAAGGTAGCCTTTCTTACTTGCCTTCCAACAACTTTTAGGAAATAATATATTAAAAATAACTTTTGACTTGCCTTCCAGCTACTTTCAAGAAATGGTATTCTTTTTTATTTTCTGAATTGACAAACTTCATTTTCAACTAGCTTTTTCTATTAAGGATAGCGCTTCAAGACTAGTTGGTTTTTCAACATGTAGTTCATTGCAGAATGAATGATGGAAATACTAAGCCTTTTGTGTCAAAGATCTTTCTAATTGAAAATACAACTTGCTCTTTCTTCATTGGATCAAATGAAAAACTCTTGCTCCTCATTTTGATCTTAAACATTTTAAGGCCTACTGGATCTATAATTACTCAATTTTATCTTCAAATATAACTTTGAACCTTTTCTCATGCATTTATCCAACACTAAGCAAGTTTTAATTGATTTTAGTTACAAATAAAATGTTAGAGAGGATTTTTGTACCCATGTAACTTGTTATAGCTATTGTCCCTTACCTTTTATTATAATTTGTTCACCATTTCCAATTCCGATTCATTTTACTTTGTTGTCCAAATGCTTGAACAATTTCCTATCATAGGTCATTTAATTGGTACAACCACTGTCAATCAACTAAGATTCACTTGAGTTATTGTTGGCGAAACAAGTAGCAACAAAGGGTTGGTCTTTCTCCTCTTATGCGTTTTTCTCTTATAGAGAATCCCAAACAATCTTGGATGTGTGTCTATCCAAGACTTCTTCGAAGATTGATCTATCAATGGCCCTCAAAAGATAATGCTTGACCTTGTGATCCTTAGTTTTGGTTTTTTCCAACTGTTCCAACTTTACATCAGTCAAAGCAGCAGCCACTTCACTAGGCTTCTTGAAACCATCTTCAATCAAGCTCCATAGACCCCTACCCAAAGGAGATTATCCATCAACTCACTCCAATGATCATAATGAAGACCATTAAAGTGAGGAATTTTTGCTAAAAACTTTTCGTAACTCATCTTTGAGCTTTGCATACCTTTTAGCTAAGCTGCAACTTAGTTATATGTATTAAGCCAAGTAGGGACTCCAATACCAATTTGTAGATAATGAAATAACTTGCAAATTAACTGTTGTTTTATTGAATTTAAAGTGGCTGTTATATAACCTCTCCCATTCAACAGAAAGCTAAAAAATATATGTTACGTGATCCGCGATAGCTTGAAATAAAAAATAGAATATTAAATATTTAAATAATAAAATTAAAACTCCAAAGTTATAGCAGCAGTAACAAGTTGTTAGACTCTACATTGTAATAGCACGAATCTTATCAACGACGTCAATTGTTTTGGAATGATTTTTTACAGGGAGTTTGTAAACTTAACAAAGTGCATAGCCAAAACTAGAACCAAGATGTGCAATTGTTCATCTATAAGTTACATTGGAGTTTACACACCTCTCTAGCGAAGTTATCAAATGTTTCAAAATTGTTCTTGAAGTTACACAATTGCAAATAAGAGATGTTGAATGTTGTAAGCTTGTAAGATGTGCTTGAAACAATCGCGAATGAAGAGCGGGTTCCCTTATTTATGGCTTTGGCTGTGAACGAATAGATTTGACACTAGACCTGGAAAGGGATGATCAAGAGAAAATCATGGAAAGTTGATGGAAGCAATTTGTGGAGGGATGTTTAAAGTGGTTTTTTCATGGAGGAAGTATATTTTTCTCATATACTTCCTTTTTTCTAAGTGTATTTTGACCATGTATGGCAAGACTTATTCAATTCTAGATAGTGATGGAGCATGCTTTTTTTTTTTTTTGTGAGAATCTAGGTGATAACCTGCTGACTAATTTAAGTGGTAAAAGTTAACCTAAGCAGGGTATAGTCTCCCAAACATTGCATGTTTTTAATTTCTTACTCAAGTTTGCTCCTAAGCAACCTCCCCCTTTTCTTCTAAAAAACAAGCAAAGTACACATCTTTTATGCAAAAGCGATAAAAATAAGCTAAACTTTGCGTAAATAAGTCTAACTTATTTAATAATTTTAAAGCCTAAATATGATCTGTTATTTGTCATAAACTTTTTATTAAACATAGTTTAACCTTTTTAAAAGTCTAATTTGGTCTATTAATCTTTTTAATAGTCTACTTCATAATGAGACATTCAATAGGTTATTAAATTTTTTTATAAATTAATTATTAATTCATCTAAATAGGTATGTCTTTTTAAAAGTTATAAATCTTATATCTAAATAAACTATTAAAAAAATAATTTAACACCTTAAATATGTATAATAAAATTACATATTCCTATTTATCACTTTCAAAACATATTTAATTTAAATAAATAATTCACTCAAATACAATAAATTAAACATCAATCTATAAATTATTAAACAAATCTAATAGCATAAAATCTTATACATTAAATCAACAAATACAATATAGCTAAATAAATTTTAGACTTAAAATTAGCAAATGCAATAAACAAAATCTAAAATGCACAAATAATATTTTTTTCATAGTAAATGAGAAGCAAAAATAAATGTCATCACATTTTCTCATCTTCAACAATATTAAAAAAGTGCTCATGTCCCATAATAGCTGTAGCAATCATTTCTCTCATTTTCTCTTTACAATAACTGACTCCAGAATTAGTAAATTAGTTACCTAAATTAGGTTGAAATAGAATATAAACAAGTGCACAAGATAATGAATGAAATAAAACAAACCAATAATAGACATAATTGAGACAATACAATTTAAATTAGTGTTATGCATATAAGATATGCAAAAGATTTCAACATAAAACTCTCACTTAGAAAATATGTAATAAAAATATTTTTCAACTCTAACAAAAAGGATTCAAATTTTTAATTTAAGATTTTATTATTTTAAATAAGTCGTTCTAATAGGCTTAATTAACTTTTTCTTAAGCTATTTGACTTATTTATTTAATTAAATTTTTTAAAAACTTAAATTAAGCCTATTAATTAAATAAGAACTTTAAAAATACTAAGCTATAGACCCTGTCTGACGGTATCACCTATTTTCATCCTAAATAGATCCACCAAATTAATGCTCCAATTAGTAGCTATAATTGAAATAAATAATATACAGTAGCAGCGGTCAAGTCCTCTCCCAGAATCTAAACTGTGGACACTTCTCATACAAACCTTGTCATTTACATTACAATAGCATACAACTTTCCTCTTTTGATCGACTAAGAGAATGCTTAGCTGCTAGCAGACTAAAGAATGAATTTACGTTGTTCTGAAAAACAAAGCTCAGAAGAATTGATCAAGCCTCATTAATTGGTCTTCGAAGACCAGAATAAACAGATGACCGAAAAAGAGGCGGTGCTTCTTCTGTCAATACCTCTGCGTCTAACTTCTCAATATGTGGCCATATCTGCCAGCAACAATATAAATGTAGCGTGATTATCAAATGATATAACACCATTTTTTAGGATGGTACTTAAACAATAATTAAGAAAAAGATAATAGAAATATGCAAAATCTTAACATAAGATTTGGATATTTTTCAAATATACAGGTTTTTAAGTGACGCAGCGACGCTACAACACAAATCCAAAGCAATCTAATTGTGGAGAAAAAGGTGTAAGCATTTTGCATATGCAAATTGTAGTTCATACGGCATTCCCAAGTTAAAATCCATGATAATATTAAAATGCAATACGTGTGAATCAAATAATACCTCAGCAGCATACTGCCTAGAAAAGGCCTTCACATAGCCCAAAGTGGTGATACACCACTGCTCCTTTTCACCTACTACATTATAAGAACCATTTTTCTTACCACCACCATTTGACTGACTGCAGAAGAGAATAAGAAACCAATATTATTATGCAGTATTAATATGCATATTTCCTCAAATTAAAAATTAAGTATTTATTATTTTTGCAATGTTATTATGCACAGGAACCTGTCTTCAGATCTCTGATTCTCATTGTCTAATTCCATTAATGATGGTTCTTCACGGTCCACTGCCGTCACATCAACTTGTGCAGACTTCAATTCACGGAGTGTTCTAGCTCCCTCGGGAAGGCGAGCCATCAACACATTTGAGAAGCTTTTGTACAACAAGAGAAATAAAGCCTGTATGTGTGCCAATAGCCACCAAGCAATGAAATACTATGAGAAACATAACTTCAAGCGCATTTACAAAAGCCAAAAAACATGAAGAAAAAACAAATCAAAGTGAAAAGAAAATCCTATCCATCCCCCTTTTTCATGTACTTCAACCCTTCCATTTAACAATAAATTTTTTGTTATTCTTGCAATGTGGCCAATATATCCACCTTTCACATTCGGAGTGTATATTAGTCCAAATATCCGTATCATCTATTTACTCATTGAAATATCAGTATATCACCCTTCCACATTCACCAAAAAATTTTGCTACCTAGTGAGTTATATCTATGGCAAAGATAATGTCTGAGTGACTGATGAATAATAGAAGATGGATGCTTATAAATTATGAAACACACTATTGGAACATCAACTTTTCTCCAGCACCGGGTGAAATGATTTCTCAGTCCACAACAGAAAAATGCATGGCCAAAGACAGTGTACCAGCACACAAACATCACATTTGAAATGAAAAAACTGTCTGAAAATTAACCAATACCAATTTTACATCAATTACCTCATTTTCATCAATTGCTCGGACAAGAAGAGCTTCCTTAGCTTCTAAAGATTCTTGAAGAGACACTACTTCCTCCTTTGCTTTTTCAGCGTGTGATTTCAATCTATTCAATTTAACAGGATTTTCACCAAGAACTGGTTCACCATCCACGAGTGTCAGTTTTGACTCTGCAGTGTCTAACTCTGCTTTTGCCTCCTTGGCAGCTTCCTCAGCTGATGAAATATTCCTTTTAAGGGATAATATTTCTTTCCTTAGATCAGAAATACGATTGTGTGTCTTGCTTACTGCATTTCTAAGAATCTGTTGGGAGGGAAAACAGGGTGGAAATTACTGTATGAAAGAACAAAAGTATTTATGATGAAGATCATTTGAAAATTGAAAATGTTATCATAATATCATTTGTAAACCATGCCAATCAAACCAAAACCAAAAGGATTTAAAGTCTACAGCACTTGAATTTAAAAAGATTTAGTTATCCAAAGATTATCATTTAAAAATATTATTGAAAGAAAGAAAGATGATTCCCAACCCCTGTAGATTTAATTACAGAGGAGGGAAGAGTTGCAAACAATATCCATAATACTGAGATTAAGTACCTCCCATGGACGATCTGATGTATGAAATTGCTCAATATTTTCTGCTGAGAAGACCCATCTCACAATAGCGAGATTTGATACAAGTCGATAACCCATCATCCTGTCAATTGCTATTGCTGTCATTTGGGTGTTACTCTTCCAGAAAAGACTCACTTCAGCAATCAGCATGACTTGTTTATCCTGGTCAGGACATACTTTTGCAAAGACTTGCCCATATCTCTCTAAAACAGTTATCAAATGAGTGAAACTCTTGGATCCAATATTGAGAAGAGTCTGTACAACCACTCTGAGGGTAACTTCTAGACCACTATTTGGAAACACATTTTCATCAATCCATGATATTATTTCACGAACAGGTGCCTTTCCTTTAACCATGTTGTTGAGCTGTCCAGATAACACTTGTTCATTGTTTTCTTTACCGTCTTCTGCACCCAAACTAAAATTTGGCCCACCCTTGGGAGGAAGCAATTCCTCTAAACCAGGTGCATTTTCAATACTCTACAAAATATCAATAAATATACCATGAAAACATTAATATGCCAACTCTACAGAACAAAACTAAAGCCTATTCAATTAATCAATAGCTGATAGAGAACATTCAGTCTACATCAACAAAAAGGCAGATAAAGAAGCGGCTATTTGGTTTCAAAAATTTTCTTGTTTTCACTTTTATTTACGAAATTGCCACCTTGTTACTTGTTTTCATTCTGTTTTCTTTTTTAAGGATTTGGATAGAAAATAGAGAAAACAGAATAAAAGTTGTTTCTAGTGTTTTCTGTACTAATTTTTGAAAGCAAGAGATTAAATGAAAACATGGTGAGTTTTGTAATTAAAAGTGAAAACAAAAAACATTTTGTAAAACCAAACAACCCTGAAACTTCTGCATATCCTCTTATGCCACATCTTTGGGCCATGTACAATAAAAGTAATATTTAGTATTTACTCTGATTTTGCCATGGATAATTTACCTGCTTAACTTTGTCCCAGTACGACAAGCGAACTTCCCTCTCCAAAACCTCTTGAACAAAGACACGTTGAGGGGCCCACCTTGGAAGGTCTAAGACATAAGCCCACTCTTCCCATGGCCAGATGAACTGAAAGTTTGACCTGCATAGCAAAAACCATCAACCAAATTGAATACAGAAACACTTGATACAACTTTGACCAACATGTCAATTTTGAAAGTAAAGAGAATTGATTAAAAAATATTTTCTTTTAGCCTCAATCAGTAATGCTGGAATTGTTAAACCTAATTCCCAATGCAATGTTGTGTCTATGGCAGGAAGAAGAAGGTATAGCCAGCTAGACAATCAACCATGTTAGGAGAATGGTGAGTTAAACAATACATCAAACGTCAAACACAACAAGACATTACAGGTGTTTATAAACCAATCTAATTCAATACAAACTACAAAAACCAAACCAAAAAATAAAAAATTGAACAAACTAAAAATAAATAAATAAATATTGAAAACTGCAAATACAATTTCTTTTATTGGATCAATTTGATTTTGGATCTAGTTTTCAAAAACAATCCAATCCACTTCAAACCAAACTTATATGTATATAAACACTTTTATTTATGAAATTAACTTCTCACTAGTACTTATACAACTACATATTTATGAAATTGTAACATTTTCGACCCATTTAGGGGACATCATAAGAGAAAGGGATAGCATAACATTTCTTAACCTATCATATTTTCTGTATTTTTATAACCAACAAAATATGATAAATCCATTATATAGGCTTATCATGTCCTACTCTCTAGGGTAAAATTTATACAGTAGAGATCTAAGACAGAAATAAACAGACTAAAATAATATATGTATGTAGTTAGTTATTGTGGCATGCATTTTGATTGTAAAATAAGAGTATTTTACTCTTATCCTATCATTTTTAACTAACTCTCATAGCATATATCCTTTCCGATCCTACCATATCCACCAGACCCGCACTACTTATCTTGTCATGATTTTATTCTCATAGTTACATCTTACTTTTTAATGGATAATCTTATTATTTTAATGCCTTTATAAGTTTCTAAGATTTAGATTAAAGTTATTTTGTGTCTCATATTTTATATTAAATAAATTCTATATCTTAAATAAAATGTTTAGACTAAAAATAGGGTAGAAAAGATGATAAATAATTTGTTTACCATTTAGTTAAATTTAACATAAAATATGAAAATCAAGTTATTCAGTCCAATTGAAACTACTTTTATTCAAATCGGATTGAATTGAATTTAAAATTTTATTCAAACCAAACCACATTGTATATTTATAATCAAATTGAATGACATTGTGCCTATAAAATAATTCAAACTGAACCATGAACACCCCTAAAAGATATAGACATAGTGTGTGTACATGTGAAGCTATTACTCAACATTCATACAGAAAAAGTAGATGATTGAAAAAATTAGTTCATCATCAAAATACACCAAAATGTAAGAGCAAAAATTAGCAATTACCACAGCAATAACAAAGTCTTATCCACTAATAGACGTCAGTTAAGTTATAAATTAGCAACTAATTCATTTAAATTTAATACACCCATTAAACCCATTGTATTCATCAATATTATCACAAACTTTAGCATTTCCACAGTTAGTGCCATGTATTGGATTTACTCAAACATGACACAACAGCTGATTCCCGCAACAAATTAAGCCATCTTCTTGGAACCTGTTTTAAACCCACCATTTAAGGTTAATACCAATTTCAATAAAAACATCAACAGCCTCACCAATATCACCAGCTTAATTTCACAATTTCCTTAATCCTAATAAGTTGTAATCATTTACCTAATTAGCTTAGAACAGTAAGATCTCAATTTCCTGTTTTTTACCAAAAAAAAAAGGCTGTCCACATTGCAGAGTCATAAAAAAAAAAACAGTACAATCTATATTTGAAGTCACTATATATTAGAACAGTCCATTGGCATTTAACAATGAATCATTATCAATTCCTGCAGCCCATGAAAAAGACATTCAGGAAACACTGCAGAATGGATCAGAGGCTACGAATCTCAGGATTGCAGCTCAAGTTTCCTTTTGTTCTGGTAATCAGGATCAACAACTTTATCCAATTAATCACTCAACCAGTTAATGATTTTTAATGAGTGGTTGACAAAAGCAACACCGTATGGACTTCATCAACAACACAAGTTGTTTAATATTCCTAAACTAAATATACTTCAATCAAAACTTCATTTCTTTAAAATTTCTTTATTTTTATATGATATTCGTTAGAGAGAAATAAGATCAGGTGTAGAGGCAATTATTAAAAATGAAAATACAATTAGGGATAGCAATGGATAGAATACTACAGTATCCACCCCTATACCCATGGTTTAAAAAATTACTTGAACTCCTTCCCATACTTAAGTGGGTAAAATCTTTGATCCCCACACCCACCGAATACCTAAATCTCATACTTGGTCCCATTAGCCACATTTTGTTAACTAGAATACAATCTGCCCGAATGGCTATAGCAGTTTCACTTCAATGATTTCCTTACCATTGAACAACCAGACAGATAATTTTAATGTGAAATTCATGAATAGTATCTTTCAATGTTATTTTGCAACTTCAGAAGAACATGCACAATATATATTATTTTGAAATTTGGATTATGCATCCTTAATGCAATTGCTAAAATTCAGAACATACAAATGGTGCGAGAACCAAAGGATCAGACGTGTCCGACACTCCATATCCAAATCAGCAATCTTCTCAAAGAGAGCACGAACTGCTCCAGCTACAACTGCAGGAAAAGCTCCAGGAAGAGCCTGCTCGGAAGCCACACCATTAGAAAGCATTAAACATGGAATGGAATGAAATTTAAAATCCATATAAAATGTGAACTGAGGCAACAATAACTCTGCAGTGACAAAAAATGACAGCAATGGCATGTCCACTTGACAGTACCTTACAAAGGTCAATAATGACCAGGGTGTAATAAACTGGTTTGAAAGGTGGTTGTGGTAGCATCAGCAGCTGCAAGAGAGATAGACATAGCATTACTAATTCTGCCAATACTCCAAGTCATACCCAGCCATTCATTTCAAAAGTACAAGCCCAGAAACGTCAGCAACATCAAATTATATAACTAAACAAATCAATGAATTTAATGTACATAACTTTTTTCTACCAAAACAATTATTTAAGAATTAAGACATTCTTTAAAACACACTTAAAAATAAAAAAAGCACTCCTCTGTAGATTCACTATCCATCTTCAAGTTATCACTTACTGAAATTATTCGCTTCAAACTACAAATATAAAGAGAAATAAAAAGTTATTTTCATAAATGTTGAATATAAATACTAAAGAGATAAGAAAAGAAGTAAAGCAAAAGACTAGTAAACCCAAAAGATTAGGGGAAATGAACTACTGAATACACAAAAGCACCTTTCTCTCCCTTGAAACAACTATTAAGTGTGTATTTAGCATAATATTCAAGCAAAAATCAATATCCAAAAGCTTCCTAATCATGCATTTTATATATATTAAGCCTTCATTTTTCTTAATTAGTTCAGATTACTACTGCATTGTGTGGAGAATTTGAAAACAATTTGAGGTTGAAAGGACAGGAATTTGGACCCCCAAAAGTGTCCACTGCATGCCAGTGGAGTTTCACATGGTTGTGGATGAAGAAATTACAGAACTGAGGTGCAAAGAGGTATGGGAGTATCCCAAATTAGGATTGTAATCAAGTCCCCTAAAAGTTTGTTAAAATTGGATTTCTCTAATTTAAAGTAATTGCATTTTTAATTATTTTTCCTTTTTATTATTTCTTTCCATTTAATCTTGTCGAAATGATTGATTGCATTTAGATAATTTAAGTTGCAATATATCATTATTTAATAGACAGTCCCTGTGGATACTGGATCGATTTTTTTTTTAATATTACTCGATAATAACCGTCCACTTGCAGGTGAATAAACAACTATCATGAACATATGTAACATTTCTATTCAGATGAATGCGTTTTAAATAATTCAGTGGCCATCCAATTGCTTGAAACAGGTTAAAATCCACATTTGCTTTCTTTAGACTTAGCTTTCTAACTTAGTTTTTTTTTATCATTTTTCTTTATTTCCACTTTACTGTTGGTGAAACATTAATAGGATTTGAAACCCTTCTTCCCAGATCATTCACACAAACAACACTTAAAAGTGAGCCTCTGTTTCAATCCAACCCATACCCATTGTTCCCTGGCACCATTTCTATTCACCAGCCACAATCACTATTCATCTGGCATTTTTCAAGCACACCCACAGCTTGGCGGTACAATGCAAAAACTTCAACCTCAAATCCAGGCACCTGAAACTGCAAAAGCTACCTGTTTCTTTAACTAAATTTTCTATGAAAATTTGGGACCCTGCCACCTTATGGCAATCTGCACTGGACTATGAATCTAGTTAATCTTCATTTGGAACACATAAATAAGACTTAAGACAGCAAATACCAAGGGAAGAGAAAAAGCTTTCTTTCTTTTTCCTGCTTCATTAAATTACCTTAACATGCCTTAGATAATAGATGTTACTTAAACTTCCTTGGAAAGTTCATTATTCTTTAGTTTCTAAAAGCAGCTTGCTCAAGTCCATTTATAGGCCCAAAGCAAGCTTCTACAGTCATATAATGCTAAAGCTTTAAAGTCATAAAAGAGTAAGACGGGGAATTGCAATTTCGCATGCTAATACCTGAGAGAATATTGTCTCAGCCATGAGGTACTCATATCTGAAGGAAACTGGCAGGCCAACCATTAAAGAAGCACATTCCTTTCGACTAGCTTTGCATGAACCCAAAACAAGTACAGTTAAAATTACATCAAAAACATTTATTAGGAAAAGGGTTAACAAAAGCAGATATGATGTATAAATAAGGACTAGAGGAATTATAAGTAAACACAATAAAATCAATACAGGTACCCTAAATTTCTGTTGATGCAACATGACAAAAATTGGAAAATTACAAGAGCACTCAACAGAACTCAAAAGAAAAATTAGTGACACAAGATTGGCATGCCATCATGTGTTTTTAAGATTTCTTTTTTCTCTTTATTCAAACTCACATCACAGGGTCACTAATATATTTCTATTATAAAGAAATGAACAGTATATACGAACCAGCCATTAAAAAACAGGAGGACATCTAGGAGATACTCTTCCATCACAAATCGGTCTATAGGCTGTAGATCCTGCATTCAAAAGATTTATTTAATTGAATTCACAGATATGATTGGTAAGAATGAAATCCAAATTACTGAGAACATATAACACAAACATTGAACAAAACTAAACCCATTTGGAGGGCTGTTAAGAGAAGGAATTTAACGAGAAAAGAAAGACAGAAATACAAAAGAAGAAAGTAAGATATTTTTCTCCTAAAGAAACCACAAAATACAATAAAAATGAAAAATTACATCTATATTGGCTGTTTAACCGTGGAATAGTCATCTTCTACAAAAAGATACTATGAGGGACAAATTTTAAAGGAGGATGCATCATTGCATATAAAATAACTCATCCCTTGAACAGGTTAAATGCCTCAACTAGTCTTTATAGTCTCCTTGTTTTCTATCAGTTTGTTTCACTTGAGCCTTGATGGCTTTCTAGTTTGTATTGATCTTATACTTTGAGAGATATGCTATTATGTTATTATGAGACTTCTGATATTTTGTTATTAGACATATGATATTATTTGATGGTTTTCTATCAATTATATTTCTTGATTTTGGCATATGGTTAGCTTTTTGTTTTTTAATTACATTCTGCAGTTTTTTAATATATTTCTGTATATATAATATATATTATACTATGGTATTATGACTGCCACATTTCTGCCATAAGCACCATGGCATCCACCATAATTTTATGACTGTTTTTGACTTTTTGCCATGACCCACTATCTATAATATGGATTCCAAGTCAAATGATAATAAATAAATAAAAGAAGTTTAAATTGAACAACTTAACAGAAATAGGAGCAAAGACACCAGACCAATATCATATAGAAAGCAAATCACCTCAGTTTTACTGGAAGGAAATATGTTTAGCCGGTGTATCCTTTGGGGGTATTTTAATTCTGCTTCATGCTTCTCTTTACCAATAGACAGACCAGATGGGACTGAAGGCACGTTTGGTAAGCTGGGGCAGTTTATTGGCCCAAATTCATGGGACTTCCCAGCAACCAGCTGAGCTTCAAATGAAAGATGAGGTCTTGGAGCTAACAATTGAAGCGGTAAAACAAAATCAGGAAGGGAACAAAACACAAGGAAACAAATAAAGGTAAACAAAAGTGGTGTGATGTGAAAAAATAAAACAAAAGAAAAGGATAAAGATGAATCAAATGAATAAACTGTTCTCTACAAGGTTGGATTTAGTGTTTATGAGAAACATGATTCTGTCACACTCACCTCACATCACCTTTGTAAGAATGAAATTCAAAAAGAAAGTTTGAAAGTAATTACATAGCATCAAAACTAAGTATTAACGCAAAGGTATAATGCCAAACGACATCTAAGAGCTACAAGCTATACTTGTTTCCTCAAAAAACAACAGCATACCAGAAAGATATCTAAGTATTAAATTATTAATGCAAAAGTAAAATGCCAGAAAGATATCTAAGAACAACATGATATACTCTTCAAAAAACACAGCATACCCCCTCTTGCTATCTATTTTCTTTGGTACATAAGATGTATATCTTTGTGACTAGTGCTTGTTTGGGAATGCTTAAATCCTAAGAAATAATTGCTTATTTTTCAAAAGCTCTCTCAGGAAACAGACACATAATTATTTCTCTAAGTTGAACCAAACACAATATAAGATGTTTGTTCTTTATGGGGGATTTTGAGCCACTAATCCCACCCTCCAACATACTCAAAAACCAGTTTTTAAATAAATAACAGATGACTTCTTGCACATAAAACAGCTCTAATAACACTTCTTTTACACAGCAGAGGTCAGCTTCGGTCCTTGGGTCAAACAGAAAGTATTACATGAGCAATGTCCCAGTAAAGGCAATAAAACACAGGCTCGATAGGAAAGACACTACAATTCCATAGAGAATAAGCAAGGCGTTAGGGAACTAACGAAAAGCAAAAATAAAATCTATCAAAGATAAATTTCAGAGAATAATGAAATGCACCAGTAGCTATAATTTTCAATATTCAAATATGTAAAATGGATTTCGAGAGCCTCTAGCTCCTACAGAGAAAATGTTTCCTCTCCTCACACTGTCTTACGCTCACAAAATCTTTGCCCGTCTCCCTATACTCAGCACTAACCTCCTAATGCCACTGGCAACTCAACCTCCTAACAAACCTCACCACCTCACAAGCTCGCATAACTACCTTCCTCACACTAGCTTGCCATCTGTCCCTTGTTTCTTCTTCCTGGCATAAACCTTCAAAAATTTAGGTCCATCACCCCCCTAATCCAACAGTACATCTATTTCTATATTATGGGCCCTATCACAAGGTGACAGGAATAATCAATGCCTCTTTAAGAATCCTATGACTTAACATCTTTTCAAAATTTATTCAATGTGGTTAAAAGTTAAAACAATAAATCAAAAGCATTCCTAGTTGTTCTCCCAAATACTTAAGCTTTTCAGATAGCTGGTCAATTTATATGAAAAGCATCGTCATCCAAGCAGTCAAATACTATTCAATGCAATGATCCTATGTATTATTAAAATATGGAGAAATTAAGGCCAACATAACATAGAAATCAGGGCTAATTACTTAGTAGTCTATTCGTCAGAAATGAAAAATAAAATAAAATAAAATAAAAAAATCCATCAAATCCTTAACATGGTGGTAGACCTATATAACAGTAATTTTACTAAGGAAAAACTCTTATTCATATACAATGTAACTCTTATTAATCAATACCAAACCATTAAAACTTGACACAATTACTAAAAAGGAGAATCAGAAAACCGTTAAAAACATTCCAAAAAAGAACTTCAGAAAACCAAAGACAAAGAAGCATCAGTTAGGAAGGACTATCTTATAAATAGCAAGTGAGATACACCAAAACCGAGCCATTGTACCAATCAAGCAGGGAGAAAATCAAAAAAGAGGAAAAAGGAATTAATCACCCAAGTATGACTAAAGATATTTTAAGAAAATACAAGAGTTGGATTAGCTCAACCGTATTATTTCATTCTAGACCAGATACATATTCGACAATAACATTGTCCATATATAAATAATGCGTTGGAAGAAGTGTATTCCTCTACATAGCTAATTAGCAATCAATTGTGCACTTGATTCATAACACTAGCACATACTGATAAAATTTGCAGATGCCTAACAGAAAACAATAACGGGTGTAAAGAGGGTTGGCAACAAACTGATTACAATTTTGCATAGGTACAGGGATAAATTTTACAAATAAATATAACTTTAGCTTCAATGCCACTAACATTTAAATATTCTGGCTCTATCTTGGCATTATAATGTATATATTAGCTGAAGTATGGTTTACTTTAAGACATTCTTGGTAAACTTAACATCAATAGGTATAGGGAAATAAAACCAAAACATGAACGTTATATTAGGATCAAATGCCCTGAAATTATAAGAAAAAAGATTGAAGAACAGTGTAAATGATTAATTTTTTGATAAAATGATAGGAGCATAACCTAGTCTTACACTACTATGCATTCTACATAGAAAAGAGAAAATTACCACTTTCAACCTTCCATCCATTGCTTGATAAAGCCTGTATTCTATCCCATAAGTCTTCCAAAAAATCCTGGAAAATAGAAATAAAAGGTTATAAGAAAGCAAATCCTTTTAAGCACCCGGTAAACTTTTGAAAGGGAGTGGTAACAGAAACAAACACAATAGGCTAAAGACAAATTTTCTTTAAGTTGCACATCCATTCTACAGGACATCTACATGTAATAAAATTTAAAATGGCCCATTAGGAATTGACGTGTTATGTATTTGATACAAGTGTACAACATGTCTGACAAGGACACTCTTCATCTTTTGAAGCACCTGTGCTTCATAGTTTTTGTCACATTAAAATTTAACATTTATTTTGTGAGGAAAAATCATCAATTATGAAACAAGATAATACCTATAACAAGATGTCCATTGAAAAAATAAAATTTAGAGCAAAATGAAATTTGAAAAATAAGCCTTTATCTGTATTCCATAATCCACAGCCAAAATTATTTGGTTGAAGAAAAATGCCAAAGCGATATTTCATCCAAGACAATTTCCCTAGGCCCCATTTGATGAATCAAACATGATAGGATAAGATAGAATAGTATAAATATAGTTCAAGGCATTAAGGCAACATACAATACAGAGCTGAAAGCCAGAAACTCAAAACAATCCATTGCTTGGTGTGATAAACATATAATAGCAGTCGTTGTGAGTGACAGTGGCTAAGGAGGCAGCAATTGAGTGATGGGTGTAATATGGAAATAGCATTAGCTTCTTATCCTATCTGGCCTTATCTGACTACTTAGGCCAAATAGATATGTACTAGATATACCTAATAAAAGATACTAAATGACAAACACTAGCATTCCTAAATGAAAAAAGTTTTTAGGCCCAGACAAATTTAAAATTGTCATGTAATGTGAATAATCTAAAACAATGAGCTCCTTTTCACTGCCCACTCGTGTCTAGGCAGTACATTAACAAATCTGAATGTGATGTGTTTCAAATTATGATATTTACTTTCCAAGTATGATATTTTACACGGGGTAGGTGTCACAAGTTCATAACCAAAAACAATTATATAATAGCATGGTAAACTAATGGGAATTGTGTTTCATTGTTAGATTCAAATCCAATGAAATCACCCATGTAGAAAGTGTTTATAACTTTATATGAAGAGGGTGTGTGGAACAATAACTGTAATGTTGGCAGTTAAGGTAGAAGTTTGGAGTAGTTATATATATCATAAGAATTTGAGTAAAAATAACTGTCTTGTAGGCAGTTTTGGGCAAGTGAGAAGCAGTTATGCATTATTAATTACGAAATATGTGCATAGTATGGTGTAGTAGGATGATAAATGTGTTGTAATTTGCAGTTTCTGGACAGAGAATTCTCTCTGTAGGAAACATTTGTCTTTCAGCCAGTAAGTGTATAGCTGTAGTATGTGATGTCTGGGTTCAGTATTATATTATATTAGTTTATCATTTGGTGTTCTACCTGATCTTCTGAGATTCACTAAATGCACCACAGCAAGACCCAAATCATAAAAAAAAAATCATTCGGGAGAAATATTGACATATTGCTCAAAGGATACACGAATAACTAAACAGAAGCCAACCTTGTCACTCTGTCCTTTCCCATCTTCATCATCATTCTCAAAAAAGGATAAACCAGTATCAGATGTATGCCTTCTGATGCTCAAGTAAGCTTCCACACCAACCATCACTCTCTCAATATCTTCAGGAACTTGCTGTGAACAGACATGGCATGTCGTCATTAAGCGGAAAGAATTCATTCTGTATTTAATGTATGAATAATCTCTACAGGTTACTAATTGCTATTTAAAATACAGTATAAGTACAAAGAAAAAGGAAAGTTATAATATGTCATGCTGCCAACTGGCCTAGAAATACTTTCCAATCATTCCATATACTTGGGATTCTAATTAAACATTTTCAACAATATTGGAATATGAACAAACATGCATACATAAAAAAGGTGCCAAGAACTGCTAGCATAGTTGTTTCATTTACTGCAAACTTATAGCTTCTCAACTTAATGAAAGTTTGACATGGGAATCAAATTCTTTATCATTGTTGCCACAATACAAGCAGCTCACAATTCAACTGCCATATCACTGCAAGGCATCACCAATGCTACTGACCTATAAACTACCCACCCACAAAAGGAAGATACAGTGAGTCTCTAACCACAGACAACATCTACCTATTAATACATTTGACTCCAAAGAATGGAAAATATGTGAAACATCTCTTCATTCGAATATTAAAAACAACTCAAAATGAAAATGCAACACAGTTGTTCTTGAATAAGCAATTAAACCATCAAATTTATATTTATAATAGCTAATACAACTTGAAGACATTAGATAAGAATAAGAAAATCAGAAATGAATAGATTCAATAATCAGATAAGAAACACCTAGAAAAAGAACAAATACTTTAAATTACAAGGTTAAAATGCAGATAGAAAAGTTGTTCCAAGAACTTCAATGAAGTTGAAAAATTTTACCAAATTTTATAGGCATCAAATAATCACCTCAACAAGTTCTGCTCCACCCCACGGGAGGCATGATAAAATGCAAGTTATGTAGAAGTCAGCACATGACTGCCACAAGGGATTCCCTTTTTCCTCATCTACCGTTGTTGCAGCAGATGATAAAAATGTTTCAAAGACAGCCACCAAAGAGCTTGGTTGAAGAACCTTACTGCACATCTTAAGAATTTACAAGGAACAAGTAAAAAAATTTACATTCAGTAATGTAAACACTCCAAAACACATGGAAACTACAACATACAAGGATAAGACTAGGAAGATAAAATGTGAACATATCTAAGAATAAGTGTTGCGTTAGGATTAACTAAGAAAAAGAATTTATTTCAATATCTAAGAATAGATTATTGTTATAACTAGTTAACAGTTATAGGAAACAAGCTTTATGTTTGGATATATTTGGTAAAGTCATCTTTAAGATAATTTATTTTCTTTGGATTGTATAAAAAAAAATTATAGTAAAATATCAAAAAAAGGGTATGAAATTATACGTAGTAGCTAGTTTTGTATTTATTATTTAAAATAATCGATTATTCGGGATAAAATAGCAAAAAAAATTTAGATAGAATAAATTAATTTTCAATCATAAGCTCCAATATTTTGCTTAATTGAAAAAAAAAATATTTTGCAATATAAATAATCCAAGATTATAATCTTATTTTCACTACCTTTCAAACAAGAGTGAACAGATTCTAAACAGTTTTTCTGATTGGAAACAGCTTTTTTTTTTTTTTTTCACGGGTTATAGTTGATACCAAACATACTCTAAGTTGTACATACCAAAATGAACAAATGATGGGGAAACTGTACAACAATTTACCCACATATACTACAGAACATTTATCCATCAATATAGAATGAATCTGTGGTGAAAACTTGAAGGATTTCCTACCTACCTCATACAATCCAGAATATACTAGTGAACAGTTTTATGTTGATAAAGGTACAACTTTTTCTTCAAAAAATAGGAATACATACCATTACAGTCAAAAGCCGCATTGTAATACGAACCCCATTGCAGTTTCCCGAATCTATGTCATCCTAAATTAAAAATATAAAAAAAAAAAGAAATACAAGAAAATTATTGGGAATGAACAATACAAATTCATGTATAGACATTTAATTTGAATGAACAATACAAATTCATGTTGACAGTGATTAAATAGGCAAGTCATATCATTGCATCTTGCATGGAACAAAAAAAAACCTTAAGCATTAAAAATTACTGAAAATGTTTTTCCTTATAAAAATTTATAAGTATGTCTCACCAATAATTAAGCATTTCAATCTGATTTCTACGATCACAACAGGATAAAAAATGGTAATGACAATCACACTACAATGTGACGGTAAAACCAATGGTGTGTAATGTGATAACATGACACTTCTGATAATGTTTGGGTCAACATAATGGTCAATGTCAACGATACAGTATGCCATCCACTATCCTTGTCAAAGAATAATTAAACTTTAACAAAAACAATAACCATAAGCAAAACTCCCCATAATAATATGACATCATTTGTGACTAAATCAGTGTTATCAATTCGGTACAGCTGTCAATGGCAGCAGGCCAAAAGTTTAACAGTTTTATGACAAGTGGCATGGCAACCAATGCCAAGGGAAGACAGTCATATCAAAGAAAATTGAAATAAATAAAAGAAACTGAAACAGACATACTGGTATTCAATCAACATACTTATAGAAAGTAAATAAAAAGACTTAATAGTTTATAGCAAGAAAAATTAACAAAATATTATTTTCAAGAAAAAAATTAGCGCATCACAGAGCCTTTAATTAACTCATTTTCTAGGTGATCCTCATTAGTTTTCATTATAAATAGTAATTGTTATTAATTTATATATGCAATGTAGCAGTGTGGGCATACCCACAGGTAAGAATTCACTCCATATCCGCCCCATACTCATGCAGGTTACTCATTAAGTGAATTTTAAACAAATTTACCATTATCCTTGGGTATCCATATATATATCCATGGATATTTATTAGAAAAAGAATTATAGAAAAAATATTAAAATAAGTTAAATAACCTATTTTAAAGTAACTTGAATTACAAAAATAGTGTAATATTAAGTTAAAAATAACAATAACACAATATTAAGTTAATCACATATCAAAGTAATCATAAAATACCAAAATTAGGAATATGTTTACTTGAAAATATTTAAGAACATTGTAATAATTATATATATGGGTAACCATAAGTATAGGTACATTAATACTCACCCACTCCCATTAATAAGAGGATAGAGAAAATCAATTTAATTAAACCTGTGGGTATCCACGGGTACATATATTTTTACCCGTAGCAAATTTTTATCTGCGGATATCCCCAAGTAGTGGTAATTTTGCAAACCCTATTAATTTCCAGTCAGGTCTGACTCTCAATGACCCATATCCAAGAAAAAAACTGTGCGTTAAGTGAGGATTTCTTATACCATTCTCCCATTCTTTGCCTCCTTTCATGTGTTGCAGCACAACCATAAGAGAAAATGTGAAATAACTAACTACATGAAATTAATGAACCATATTTTGTTCATAATTTGGAAGGTATACTTGGTAAGGATTGTGGCTATTTTGAGTGGAGGTAAAGCCCGGTAGTGTTGAAAACCTCCTACAGTCCATTATCACAGCCTCAATCTAAAAGAGGCATGAGTGTCTTTGGTGGAATTAAACTGCTTTTGGACCACAGGCATCATCAAAGACAAAAGCATTCCAAAAATCACAAGCCCTTCGGTCAGGAAGGTGGGCAGATGAGATTCCACTTCTGGTAATGGCCAGTAGCAACTAGCAAGATGCAAGTGGTGTCACCATAATCAACCCACACACCAACACCTAGATATTTTTATGGCTAGAAACATCAAGCTTGCCATGTATTCCAGAATGGCAAGTTTTGACAACACAGGATTAAATGCAGACTATCTGCTCCCAACTCAAATAATGTTTTTTTTCAATGAAGCATCCACATGAGTGAAACTCAATTTGAATTTCTGTATGAAAAAATAGTTTGTTTCAGATTCAAATACCAATTACAAAATAATCCTGCACATCAAGCAGTCAACATTGCTGCAAAAGCTAATTACAAGTTCAAATTCTAATTTACACTCCCCCATTAGATTTTAGAATTACTAATGAATCCTCAACTAATTATAGACAGTTTATTCACACAGAAATATTCCTATCCTTAATTGCACGTTCAGCTAGTGAACTAAGATTGACTAAAAAGAAAGAAGACAGTGCCATAAGTACAACACCATGAAACCACCATAGCAGCTTCAGTGGCTTAATTGCTTACCTGAAATTTAATTTGAGTTTTTTCCACCAGTTGTTTCACAAAGTCCTCATTTTCCAAGTTAATCAAGCCAATCTGAAATGAAGTGGATAAATAGGAAATGCAGGATGCTCAGAAACTTCAATTTGCAAACTACATTAGAACCAAGAAAGATTTCACAATGCATAATTGAGATGTTAATTAGCTTTAAAGAAATTATAGATGCAGAAACAACACATAACCTCAAACTGTTAGACATAATTGACATTTGATGCAAAATGCAACAAGTAAATTAATAATAAGATAATGTAACAGCAGAGGAGAGCAGACATGTCAGACTAGGTTAATTATATTGCTTCTTTAACCATCAAAGTGTATGAAACTCTTTTAATTGTATGAAACTACTTTGAATATCTATAAGCCATACAAAGTTGTCCATGTCAGTTAATTTGAAAGGACCTATAAAATTTTCAGGGCCAAAATATAATAAACAATGACAACAAAAGTTTCATCCAACTAGGTTAGGTTGGCTACATGGATCACAAGCTTCATAAGGGTCAATCAAAAACCAAATTCTCAGATATTATTAACCATGAGATCCCTTTTAAACATTCCTTCTAAAGTTCTCCTTGGCCTCTCTCTACCCCTTTTACAAAGCCAAAAACCATGCGATCCACTCTCCTCAATAGGTGTCACTGCAATACCTCCCTGTATACAATTATTTCTTATCTTCTCCTTTCTCGCATAACCACTTGTCCATCTCAATATTCTCATTTCTGCTACTCCCACTTTATTTTAAATTATTAAGCTTGCATTTGAAAATTAAACAGTACAGAAGTACAAAAGTGGGAAAGTTTAGGATAAAATGATTTTGAATAAAATAGCAAGAAAATACTTCAAATGTAAAAAATTCAGTTGATCAGATACATTGTCATGACTCATAACTTGCTGTTCTATTGCAAAAACATGCCATAATATGCAGTAGCACTTTTTCATTACCACAATAAGAATAAACAAAAGGTCACCAAGTTCACCAATATCTGTGTAACAGTCAGCCACAAATCCGAGATAAATATTGCAACATACAGGAAAACAAATAATGGATGCTTTAGGCAGTTCAAGAGAGTGAGAAGAAAATCTCTACCAGGGTTCCATATAAAGGAATCTTGTGAGGCAATTGCTCAGTACATGTGAGAAGAAACTGCACAAATACAATAAATAACTCATGATACCAAACATAACAGTGCCATGTTATGATAAAGAAAAAAAGGCAATATATAACAATTAACCAGACACTAGAAACAATACACGCATGCTTCATGAAAAAAAAAATCCAAACACTTAACACTTGAAAAATATGTAGAGAAAAACACAGTGGTGCAACCAACAAGTGGGCATAACATACATTACAGTTCTAATATTAACACAATTCTATTCAAGTCTCAACATTTTAGACTTCAGGAGGAGCAAATAAGTGTTCTTATAGGAAGAAAACTAGTGAGCAAGCTGCAAGCCAAGAGAAAGTACAAGTAACAGAAAAATCAATTTTAACATTTCACCTCACGAATATATTTTTAGCATACTTTTTTGAAGTAAGCACATAGTCGGCAGATAACACTTCAACTCACAACAAAAAATGCTTCACAAGCCTCAGAGCCCCAAAAAGAAGTAGAAGAAGCCAGTTCAAAATATTGGCAAAGGAATTGACCTAACAATCAGAACTAGGAAACTGGAGCAAAATGTCAAACAGAAGAATCTCAGTTTACCTCCAAAATCTCAGTTTGGGAGTGGTCGAGTTCTCGGCGAAGGGCGCCAAAGCATGTGTCCTGAGAAAGTGAAAAGAAAAAGGAGAGGCATTAGGCACGTGAAGCGAGAGAATCAAGTGACCGCGAAGAGTGAAAGAGAGAAGAAATAGCCAACAATGTGGTCTTTGAATTCGGAGGAGGGGCCATATTCGGGGCTCTTGTCACCAATTCGTAGAAGAAGGCTTCTCCAACTCATGGTTTGCTACACCTCCAGAACTAGAAGAGAAGCAAAGAGAGAAAACAAAATGAAGCAATAGGGGTTTTCAGGGTTTTGTGACCAAGCCTCGTTGGGCACCCAACTGGGACCAGCACGGATTTCAGCTTTCAACCCTAACGGTGGTCCGTGATTCAGTGAATACCCCGTCACGGTACACTTTTTTTTTTTTTTTTTTTATGGTTATTTTGAATTTTACTTTTCCTTGCCACTTAACGATAAAAATATACACATGCACGCTACATACATGTGTGCGTAAAAGGGAAATTCCTGATCCTAAATTTTACTTTCTTCTAAATAAATACTTTAAATTTTTATTTTATTTTTATTCATATCTAATCCTAAAAAATTGAAAATTAATCATCAATATTTTATCTTTGTTTTTAATGAATATAGTTCTATAAGACTTTGTTAACATAAAAAAAATTTAAAATATATATTTTTCATTTTATTTAGTTTAGTTAAAATATGTTCATAATAATAAATTTAAATTTAATTTTTTTAAATATTAAACATTAAGTGTTTTTTTTAGACTTATTTAATTATATAACAGGGGATAAAAAATTAATATAAACAAGTTTGCCTTTTTATTTATATTATAATTATTTGTCTCACTATTAAACACTAAAACTTATATTTTGAATTTAGTCTCATTTTTATAACATTAAATTTTAATTAATTTACTAATTCTTATCAATTGATGATCATATGTTTTAAATTAAAATAATTTAATAATTTAAAATAGAAAATTTTTGTAAATATCCATATTAATTATTACAAATATTACTTTTTTAATTATTTTTGCATACATATTTTAGTTTTTAATAAACATTTTTATTGGACAACATATAAAATTTAATGAAATTATTTAAATCAAATAAATTAAGGTAATTAATGTATTTTTTTTATTCTTAACATTTTATTTTCAGCTTTTCTACTTTTATATGTAATCAATTTCAAAAAAATCATTAAATATTATTTATGACCAGTAATTTTATTCCATTTTAACTACCAAATATGCTTGTGCATTGCACAAATTTGCATAAATATATTTATATTTTTATTATTTAATTTAGTTTTAAAATTATTATAATTTAAATATAAAAATAATTATTTTTAATATGACAAAAATATAAAAAATATTAAATGAAAATTGTATTTCTTTAAATCAAATAAATTAAGATAATTAATGTATTTTTTTATTTTTAACATTTTATTTTCAGCTTTTTTTTACTTTTATATATAATTAATTTTAAAAAAATTTCATTAACTATCATTCATGACCAGTAATTTGTTTCCGTTTTTATTCTATGGCTACAAATAAAAAACTCTTATACATAATAAATTATAATCAAATTTTTTAATATAACTTATTAATATTTTTTTTATTTTTCAGATTTTATGATTTAAAATTCTAAAAACATTAATAAGAATTAATTGAATTTAATTCTTGCACTATTTGATGGTCATAAAATCTGAAAAATGAAAAAAATATTAATGCAAAATCAATTACAATTTAAATTTATACATAACAAAGTTATTTTAACATATGTATAAACAAATAAAACATTAAATTTTGAAATATAATTATAGAAACATTGTTTGTTAAAATAATTTTTTATTATATATTATAATTGTAAATATATATTTTGAATATAATAATTGATAAATATTTACATAAATTAATGAATAAAATTAAAAAATAAAAATTAAATTATTATTTAATTTATCAATTTATATGTATTAAATAATTATGCATTCTAATTTATTATATAGTTAAATTTTTTTTAGCATTATATTAATATTGTTGTTTAGCTAACTCTACATATATTTGTTCGTTTAAAATAAATTTATAAAAACAAATTTAAAAATTGCCAATAAAAAAATGTTATTTTATTCGTTAATTTATACAATATATAATTAATTATCTTATAAAGTTTATCGATATTAATTTTATTATTTTTATCTTTTAAATAAATTTTGATAATTTTTATTAATTAATTTTAATTAATTATAATTATTTTTTATATAATTTTCATTAATATCGGTAGTTGCAAAATTAATATAAAATTTACTTAATTTTGCCATATTAATTCTAGTATTTTATATAAATTTTAATATTTTTTATAAAATAATATATATATATATATATTAGAATTCACTGACATGTCAAACTTGAATAATCAACTTAATTACTTTTTCTATAATGTGAGAACAATTAATCTAAATGTTAAATTATTTTATATTATTTTTAAATCCTATATATCAAATTTCACATAATTTAAGCATATATATTATTCAATAGTTGATGTATATTTATATTTTAAAATTTTAATAACTGTTAAAATAAAATAATGCGATAAGATAAAAAAAAAATTTGTAAAACATATTTATGATATTGAAAAAATGGTTAAAAAGTATTTAATCAACATAAAACATGATTATGAGTTACTTTTTGTCTAAAAATATGAAATTAAAGGATAATGACCAAAAATTTTGTTATCAAGACAATTTTGTAGAATTAATATATAAATAAGTCTATAAAGATTTATATTAGTTTTTTAAAGATTTAAATTATTAATATATTAGTCTTACAAAGATGTCATTAAATTAGTTCTTCAAATATTTTAATTTGTCACTAAATTAGTCTTTAAAAAATCTAATTAAAAACATCAAAGTAGTGAAAAAATATTTTGACCAAGTAATAAATTAAAGCTGAGGGAAAAACATTTAAAAATTTATCAAATTAATCATTAAAGATAATTAAAGGGGTGATAAAAAGATTAATTTAACGATAAAAACCTTAAAAGACTAATCTGATAATGATTTGAATATTTGAAAAATTAATTTAGTATTCTAAATCTTTATAAAACTTACTTAGTGACACTTTGATCTTTGGATGACAAAGTTGAAAATTTTCTCTATTTTGTTTTTGTTTTTAAAATCTTTTTATAATTTTTATATGAGTTAAAAAATTTGATAGGACTAAATTATTAGCAAATCAATACATTTGAGAAATCTAATTGCAATTGTATGGTATTTATTTTTATATTTCACGAGTTTTCTTGATCAACGTAACAATACCAACAAAAATACTAACATGTGTCCATGATTTATGTGACCACATTAATAGGAGAAACTAAAACATCTAAGTTATATAAGTATATGGACCAAAACTATAAAAAAAATTAAAAGATAAAATAAAAGGGTAAAATTGAAAAATTTGTCCTTTAAGTTTAATTTAGGATTTAATTTGGAATTTAATTTTATCTCTTAAGTTTAATTTTGATTTCACAATTTAATATTTTAATTTTATTTAAAATTCAATTTAGTACTCAAGTTATTTATTTGCACCAAAGTTTTCTTATTTGATATAAATATAATTTTATAATTAACAATGATAGATGCATAGGTTTAATTAGGTTTTAATTTAGTTTTATAAACTTTGCGGAGTTTAAAGTGGCTTTTAGGTATTTAAATTAAAGAAAATTGTAAGAATGTCATTTTTATTATAAAAAAAAAAGTTAAATTATATGTTTGATTTATATAATTTACACATATTTACAAATTAGTCTCTATACTTAAAAAAGTTATATTTCAGTTTCTATATAAGTTTTTTCTTTTTATTGTTTTTGTCTTAGTAGTTAATGAGTTGGTCATTACTTTTATAACAATGTTAACTGTGGAAGGGAGCAAATCATAACAAAATATTGTATAAAGTGAAAACTTAGTTATTTTAAGTAAAGGGATTAACACGTATGTTTTTTTAAATATAGGGACTAATAAGTAAACTTGTTAAATATAGAAACCAGGTATGCATTTTAACCGATTATAATTTTAAAAAAGTTACACAATTTGAACTTAAGTATCTTAATTAGGTGTTTATGCAACTTTTTTTAGGGACTAAACATGTAACATTCTTAAAAGAATATTCTTTTTAGCTCAAGCAATAATGAGTCATGCTCTAACTATCCTTTCACTCAAGTGAGAAGACATAGAGTGAATGAGGACCTCTTTGGACGCATTTTAGCATAAGCAAGAATACCTCTTGCTCAAGCGAGAAAATATTAGAAAAAGATTGAAAAAACATTGATTGGTTTTCTAAATCAAGCAAAAAGTAGCTCGCTCAAGTGAGAATGATTACGCTTAAGCGAGAGCTTACTCGCTCAAGCGAGAATGATTACGCTTAAGCGAGAGCTTACTCGCTCAAGCGAAAATTTACAAGTTTTGAAGGGTATTTAAGATATTTTCATTCTAAAACTTGTATTGTAAGTCAAGGAACCTTTCACTCACTTCTTTCTATGTTCTCTTGTTTCCTTTCTTAGATAAACCTCTTCCAAACCTCAAACTACTTCTGAATTCAAACACAGACTTCCTTTCCTCTTGATCTCCAGGAAATTTCTTGGAACTCAATCTTTCAATCTCATTTCTATATTTTTCAGTTTTCTCTTTTGTCAAGTATTCTGCCTTGTAATATATAGGAAGGACTTAGTCTTTGGACGATATTTTTCACAAAATCCTGTACAAAATCATCTCTGTGAGGTAAGGAGAGTTATATTCCATCTTTGGAATCTTGAATACCTATTGTTCATGTGTATGGCTATGTACTCTCTTTTATTTTAAAAAATATGAGGTGAGAATTAATTATTTTAAGGGGTTGAGACTATGGTTATTTCTTTAAATAGTGAATGAGTTGAGGTATATAAAATACATGATGTATTGATAATATATATATATATATATATATATATATATATATATAATTATGAATCTTTGTTTAGAAGTTGAAATATGTCTGAGCTTATATTCTTTTATTATTCTCTCTCAAATTATATGTGAATCACTTGTGACAAATAATAAAAGAACAAAAACATTGGAATTATTATCTATATTATAATGGTGAAATTATATTATAATGAAAAAGAAAAAAAAGGTGAAAGTTGTATTATCATAAAAAGTTATCAGAATACATGTAGATAGTTATATAAATACACTGAGAGTATGGAAGAATGGAGTCGATTTGGAATCTTACAAAAATAAGGGTGTTGGATGCTATCTGTAATGGGTGCACATTTCTTAATGAGAATGGAAGCATCATAAGCATTATACTCATTTCCTGATGCATACTCCTGATCATAATTTTGCTAAAA